AAAATATCCAAATCTCACGGGCCGGAGACATGATTATGAATTTCATTTAAATATGGTCTTTAGATTTAGCTATAAAACACGTAATTTCAAAAACTAAGAATAAGAAATAAAATTCTAGTTATATATACTACCAAATAACTTTTATTGAATTGCTACGATTGGATTGGAAATTCCAAAGAAAAATAACCCAGGAGTGTTGTTTATATCGTTTCTAAGAGCCACCAAAATGAATTTATGAGGTAGTTCAAGAGAAGAGGTCAATGATAAAAGATTTTGTTTCTTGTGTTTAAAACACATCAAGAAGTGAAGAACATCACTAATTAAAACCTTGTTAAAAAACGGACTTAAAGGTGCATAGACACAGATTTGATGTTAATATTTTCTCAATTTTTCTCTATAATTTCATGACTTCTATCTTTGGATAGCATTTCATACTAATATTATAAAATCTATCTTTTTTTCTGGAAGTTATTACAACTTCGAATTTCTACACGCGTTTGGTTGACACATTTTTACACTTCAAAAAATTCAGCTTTTTTCGTAAATCTTAAGAATAGTAGCAATTTTGTTGTGTAATAATGAATAATATTAAAACTATGATCCAGAATATTCAGAGTAGAAATTTGCGGAAATCTGAATTTGTTTGACTATTGTTTTAATATTTTCATTAAAGTTCAACAAAATTGCTACTTTTTTAAGCATTGAGGATAAAGTTAAAAATTGTGAATGTGCAAGGATATGTCAATCAAACGCGTCTAAATTTTCAAAGTTTCAATAACTTCAACGTGTAGCAAAATTAAATCTTTATTAGATTTTCTTATGAAATTTTAAAGCAGCATAAAAGTTATGATGAAATTAAACAGACAATTTGAAAAAAAAATATCAACATCAAATCTGCATGCTTTGTCTTAGCAAGTTTAAATTTCCAAAATCAACTTGAGTGAGGTTTTACATATACAAAATTATGTAAGCATAGATTTAAATAATGAGCAATAAGGACTTCGGCCTATAAATAAAACGAACACCTATCACATTTTTAAATAAATCTAAATATAGTATATGTTTCACGTTGGAAAAAGTTATACAGTCTCTATGGGATCGTGACGACGAGAGAGTGTTTGTAAAATATTTTGAAGTATCACCATATATTTAGTTGATTCGAAGTCTATTCAAACATAACATTTGGTATTTTAACCTGTGTATTCTAATAAATTCAAATGGAGAATTCGTCCTTTTAATGCATACACGAATGTACCTTTAATTCCAATGGAATTTTATTGAAATCAGCCCACGTACTAAGGATAAAAAAAATTGAAATTAAAATACAGAACTGTCTTGTAAAGGATCTCATCATATTTTTTCGTGGCAGTTGGGCGTTCTTAAAATATCAAAACTAAATGTGTGCTATCATTTTAAGGTAGATTAACCATATTTCGTGCAATAAAAAACTAAAAGCATAAAAAATAATAATATAGATATTTTTTTAAAAAAACATAATATAGTCGAATACTGAACATTTAATGACAATAAAGATTCGCACAGAAAATTTTATTATTTTTTTTTTATTATTTCCAAAAATGGCATTCATAAAATAAGAAAAAATAATAAATAAAGTTAGTCGCATTAAAAGTCACGAACATGACATAAAAACACATCACCATCATTTTGACAGTATATAAACAATTAAATTCAGTAATGATTAATTACTGAATTTAATCATTAAAATTTAGCGGAAAATATTACAAAAAGGTATCTCTTCAATTGAATAGATAGTTTTTTTGAAGACCCAAATAAACAAGCGGTATTTCCCGGTGAACTCCGTTTGGTTGTCAAACCAGTAATTTTTCCTCTTTGTCGAACGAAATTTAAGAGAGTGTATCTGAAATATTTTGGGAATCTTTATGGAATTAAAATTACGAAATAAAATAGGCTCTGACAATTTTTTGTCAGAAAAACAATGTTTCCTATCCCACAAGTTTTTGGATTAATGAAGGAATATGAGCATGTTTACCTCCAATTTTGCGGCTAACTCTTCATAATTTGGGTCTACTGAAAACTATCTATATTTATTTCTGTATAATTCTTGAGAAGGAAATGTTTAAGTTTATATACATCAGTACAAAAGATGCATTTCATTTAAAAAAATCTGCATACTCATAATTAAAAAATAAAAATATTACAATACTGTAAAATTACATATTTTGGTGGGGTCAAATATTCTTGGTTTTTAGGGGGGAAATATGGGCTTGTGGATGGAGAAGTATTGAGTAGTAATATCTATGATAAATTACATTGTATTCTGGACTTAAATACGTGGACGCTTCATACCTCAAAAACCACGAAAATTTAACTCCACGAAAATCCCTCATTTCCCAATTAGTAAATGGCACATTTGAGCACACTATAAGAAGACATTTTTATTGGTTAGTATTGAGGTGGGGGAGGAGGAGGGTAAGCGGGGTTACCACCAGGTGGTGGTGGATACTGATTGTACTGATTGAATCCAGACTGTAGTTGTCCGTAACTTGGAGGTGGCTGCATATATCCTGCCTGTCCATAATGAGCTGTTCATAGAAAATATATTTCATATAAAGTACAGCAAATTCATCATTTCATAGGTGTAACAATCAATTATAAGAAATCGATATTTCTTTTTAATATTGAAATATTACGGATATATGTTATAATAACAATTTACTGTACTGCAAAAAAAAATTACAACAGCTGAAAATACACTTTGTAGTTTATTTAAGAAATGAATTTAATTTTTGAAGATTCATGAGGTTATGAACTACGACGCTTCACGCCGGCATATTTCATGAAGCGCGTTAGCGCTTCATGATAAATATGCCGGCGTGAAGCGTTGTAGTTCATATACCTCATGAATCTTCAAAAAATTAAATTCATTTCCTATATTTATATTATTTTTCTGATAACATGCCATAAATTTACGCCGTTCAACTGTTATTTTTAAAACAAAACAGTGTGCACTATATTTTTTGACTTTTTGACGTGAGGAGCGGTATTATGACGTCACAATGGAGATATTCATGCTTATTCGTGATACATACCTAATGTAGTTCATGAAAAAATATACTGCATTTTATTTTGTAAAGAATCATAGGGGAAATTTATTGGAAATGTAAATATTCCACAATATCTTGAGGGTTTCCAATTGTTAAATTGGTTTGGCATACGCATTTCTTTCTTTGCATTGAGCAGTTAGCATATTACAGAGACAAAAACTAATCATTAACTATTGTATTGTGGCTTAAGTTTCAGATAATCTGATAAAAGAGATAACTCTAAATGAAATAAATGTCTATTAATAATCGTTTATAAATTTGCCAAGTTGAAGTGTCTTTTTAGTCCATTTCTGCTCCGCAAGATATGCTGTAATTGTTTGTATTTTACTTTTAAAATACATTTCTTTGTAAAATCATTAAGGTTCAAGCAACATTGCATATGAGTGAGCAGACGGTTTATAAACCTTGAATAAGTGACATTCATCAGGAGTAATTCTGATTTGCTGCAAAAGTTATAATAAATTGCATATGATATTATATAGAACAGAAAACATTGTGGAAAAAAAAAATATTTTATTTTAAGGCCCTTTCACAATTGGCGCACGAGCACTTTACAACACTTTGCGATCGGAAAATTTTAGCTTCGCACGAGCTCTCGCATACGCTGCACGATGTCTCGCATTCATTGCATGTGTTCGAATGGTCGCATCAAGTCTCTTCAAAATAGTCAACATGCACATTATTCAGACGCGACCAAATGCGATCCAAATTATCGCAATTCAAGGCACGAAAGTTAGTGCGAACGTCTTACAACATTTTGTGTACTCGTAAGAGTGATGTACGATTTTTAAAGATCGTAAGATGAATCGCAGCCGTCTTTGCGTGTGTTTTGCGACCATGACACTGTTGCTCAACATGTCCCATGTGATCTTGCAATGTTTTACTATCATTGCTTGATTTATCACCTTCAATTGCCTTTCTTTGCAACAGGTATATATACCATGTATAATTATAAGCATCTTAACTATGTCAACTGAAAGCGTCGGAAACGGGTGGAATATATACCCGGACCTCTGACTCGCACGAACATTCGTGCTATGGAATGCATGAGCGCACGAGCACCGCAGGTCCAATCGTATTGTCGCACGTTCAATCGTCCGATAACCTGTTCAGTCGTGCAATCCTATCGCATTATCTTACAACACTCGCTTTCATTCTACAACAGTCGCATATAGACGCAAGATATATCGCAATATTTAAGGCACGACAGTCGCTTTAAATCGTGCGCATTTCGTACGAACACTTTTTTCATATGCGATTATTTTGGCAACAGTTTACGATCCTGGACAAAATTATTCGGTCGCACGAATATTTTGTCGCTTCTGCTCGTGCACCAATTGTGAAAGGGCCTTTAGGTACAGAGGAGTTGAATGAATTCTTTTCATTATTTTGAGTTCCTAAAGGACGTGATCTCTAAAACCCTCGGAACTGAACACCAATTTGGTAAATTTTAATAAGTTTTGAAAAAAAGTTTAAATACCTGAAGTTCTTATAAAAACATTTTTGTTATCAAGCAGTTTAAAACCTCTATCAAACTATAATTATTTCTACGCCAGCCTCTATTTTTTTTTATCCTAATATCTGTTACGGGATGTTATGAATTTGTAAATTAATATGTGACATGAATTTTCATACTTTTTATCTCGTGCTTTCTGATTATTATTATTATTTAAGTGTTTTAGCCATCGTTTACAATAAATTTTAAGAAATGAACGCCTTCTTTTAAACAAGCCACCTGAATTTCACTGATTCATCTCAAAATAAAAGGATTTGTGTTTATTAATTTAGTAACACTCTTACTTGTAGTCACAGTGTTTACTGCAGGCGTGTTTTGAATGATCATTCCCGGCCGGTTCTTTTTCTTACAACAGATAATTATAACAACACTGTAAAAAATGTGCTTAGGAAATAAACACTACCATTACATGTTTACATCTAAACATGTTTAATATTATGTTTAACAACTAAACACTTCGGTCAAAAGTATTTAATACCTAAACACGTTTAGAAATTAAACACGTGTTTCATTCTTCAGTCAGTGAAATACGGAGTTGTCTTCCCGGAAATGATCGAGATATATTCAAACATGAATTAGCGCGGCTGTCGAACAAAGAAAATCACAGCATTAAGAAAAAAACGTTTATCCTATCAAAATGATAGAAATTCAAGATACTGTTGCAGATTAAGTGATATACACGAGGGATGCTTCGTGAAAACTTTGATTTAGAAGGTTTGTATGATTTTAGTTACTCAAATTGAGCTTGACGAGAGAGGTTACCGTAAACAATGTCAGCATTATTTGTTTATCGTAGGATCTTGCATTCTTTACTAAAAGATACATGTACAATATTAATATACACCATTATTAATTCATACCTTATTACTAGTCACAATAAGGTTATTAAATAATGTTATGTGTTTGTTTATGGATAATTAATTTCAACAAAGAGCAAATATGCATGTATTATATTATTATTGAGATTCGAGTAGTGTGTTGTATGTGTCTTCTACACACAAAGATATCTTAGATACCGTAAATAAAATGTTTTTTACATGAAACTCAATTAATAAGTGAAAATTATTTTATCTACACTGTAAAAAATGTGTTTAGATGATAGACACTTTCCTAAGCACTTTCTTGTCACACTTTTTTTTATGCGTTGAAATTCTAAACACATTTAATTTCATTACGTGTAACGGAAAGTGTTTAGAGCCTAAACACTTACATGTTTAGACTTTAAACACTTTACAAAACATGTTTACAAATTAAACACTTGGATGTTTTCATTGTCTTCCTGCAAGAAAACTGAAAAAAAAAACGATTGTTTACATTTTAAATTTTATTCAATGAACATTCAAACATGGATTTATCATTAAGAATTTTAAATTAAATATACATTATTTTTAAATATTTATTTTTACATGCTGGTTTTAATTTTAATCAGATTTGCAAGCAGTTATTCCTCATGTCTGTATCAAGTTTAACTTCCAGCAATTCTTCACTGAGCAACACACGCATAATTATTTTTCATCCGTGACCGTCAGTAGGTAATCCACTGCCATTATTTGAGAATATTTTTAGGTTGTTCAAAGCAGCAGATTTCACAAAACTCAGTTTCCTCTAGAAAGTAAGAAGTGTTGAAAAATGTAAAAACGATGGCATGTCATTGTGACGTTGGAGATGACGACAGTTCCTCTGATACGTGTATTTTTGCTTTCAAGTTCGATGTCAACCATATCCTGTAAGAAAGAAATTCAAATTTTATCAAAATATGCTCCTCACTGGCTGGAGTTGTATGAACTTTTTTGATATTGTTTGATAGCTATTATCGTGCTACTTTTATTGAACCTCATCTAACCACCATTTAGTACTGATACCGTTATAGATATTATTGACATTCTATATAATGTACTCCTTTCTAGATTTCAGGAATGCAAAATATAACCAAAGGGAATCTTGATCTACAACTACATGTGCAAGCGCATGTGTATTTACGTAGTTCATCGTGGTCAATTTATGTAAAATAACAATAATAGTTAACATACCTTTTATCGCAGTAATGTTGCATTTTAAATGCATTTCACAATCTCTTCATGGTTATCACTTTGATTAGCATTCACTTCCTTTCTTCCATCTTCTTTAGCTAACATTGGGATTTTCTTTGTTTCGATAACCGCTCTATTTATCATTCGAATATATATGCGTCATTTCCGGGAAGATAACTCTGCACTTCACAGAAAAGTGTTCAATTTCTAAGCACTTATATCTAAACATGTGTTAAATCTTAACATCATTTAGATATAACACACGTTTAGAACTAAGTGTTTAGCCGTTCAACACAATCTAACACACGTTTAGACCTAAGTGTTTAGCCGTTAAACACAATCTTATACATGTTTAGGTCAAAACACGTAACGGAAGTGTTTATTTTCTAAGCGCATTTTTTACAGTGTATTATAGAGAAAAATGGTGAGGTTGATATTTAAGAAAGACCACACAGAAAAAACATATACCTCCAGCAGAAAGGCTAGGGACCAAAGAATCACTGGATTTGATCATTGGTACATGTACAAGGTAAATTTATGCAACTTGTACTTTATTTGATTGTGTTACAGTTGTTTGTTATCTATCTATTACATGTTTATGCTTGAGGTTTCTTCGGCCTTCCTTACCCATGGACTGTTTCCTTCTTTGCTGTTAAGACTGAAATTTCTGTCCATTATGTTTGTTTTGTTTGTATAATTTTTTTTTACTTTAGTCTAATTATTTTTTGCAGAAAAACAACATTTTACTTAAAGCAAGAAACGTAAGGATCCAGCAAAGTTGATGATCATCACAGAGAAAAGAATAGCATTATGAACACAATTATTGGAAGAGGACTGGAGATAATGGGGTCTACTAACTTAAACTCGCTAAACCGGGGCCTTTGTTGTGTTACAAAGCTCGGGACTTGAGATATCCCAAATACTTTCAAATTCTGGACGGTCTCGATGACATAGAAAACAAATGAGTAAAACAAAACCTAAAACACAAAAGAGTTTGAAAACTGAAATATGTATTTCGAAGGTTTTGTGGCATACTGTATTGGATGTATGAGTTTGTTGAAAAAATGATTTTTTATTCTTAGATGGATAAAATGTTAAACATTTTAATTTAATTTCTAATAAACTAACAATAAGTATAAAATCACTCTGAAGTTCTTTGTAATTTGTTTAGAGATAACTACGTTGGTTTATTATAGGATCGTTATATTATAAGGGTACCATCTTTAGATAATTATTCTTTAATTTTGATTTGCATTTTATCATGTTTTTAGTAGTTTAACATATTAAAATTCTAAACACGTTTAGGCCGTAAACGCAAGCTTTAAAGTGCACATGTTTAGAAATTAAACGGATACCTTAACATGTTTAGAAAATAAATGTGTTTAAGTACTAAACATGTTAAAAATCTGTCTACAAGAATAGTGTTTAGAAAAATGTTTAGACTCTAAACACATTTTTTACAGTGAAAGACCGCTACGATGACTAGGAAAATAATGCTTCCAATAACAGCTCCAGCGATGGTCCCGGCGCTACTGTAGGAGGAATAGTAATAGTAGTAGTAGTAATAGTAGCAGTAACCATAGTAGTAATTGCAGTAATATGCTGCTGATGCAAAATGGTAACCTGAAATAGAATAGAAACGGACATTTCAAACACCCTGTGAAAGAGTTTCTCTCTAAGATTTTATTTATTTATTAGATGTTGAATTTACTACTATATGTATAACCTTTAGATTATGGAAAATACCTTGCTCAGTTTCCAAGGATGATTGTTTGAGTTGAATAATTACAGAGGAAAGTAAATAATGTGATTGTGGGACTAGGTCACTTTAATTGATTTAATATTATTTTGAACGATAAGAATTTGTAAATGAAAATGAAGGTTTGTCATCTGTTCCACAAGAGCAGTTGTTTTGTTTGTTAGAGTTTTAATAAAGTCCCAACTTTACAGGGTTCATCAACTCCTTTAGAATAAATATAATTCAAGACCATTGCCTTAACGCTTGTTAATCATATACTTAAAAACTGTAGCTTCTTGTTTTATTGACAGTCTGATCATATGTAACTTTTTATGAACTTTGGTTTAAATATGGTGATTATACCCCCGCTTGAAAAGAAGGAGGGTATATTGTAATCAGTATGTCCGTCCGCCCGTTCGTCCGTCTGTCTGTACGTCCATTCGTCCGTCTGTTACGCTTAAGGGTATCCATCTCTTATCCGCAACTACTCTTATACCAATGAGTGAAATTTAATGAAACTTTCACAGAATTTTTATTACATATTGCCATTGTGTACTTCTTATTTTGCATTTTGATCCGACACATATTTTGGGTTTCCCGGCCACAGCAAAACATGGAATTTGGCATTAGTAATAACCACATGGGAGGCGGGGGTATCATTTAGTGAGCTCACTGCTCACAGTAACTCTAGTTTTAATATTTACGCGTTATTTTTTTTTTTATGAATTGAGCATGTTCATAAAATTTAAAATCGCCGGAGGTGCAATTTCAGATCAATTCAAATTTTAAAATGTGTTTGGACAACCGGTTACCCGATGTAAAAATATAAAACGAATTATTTTCTTCGTGATTCATTAAATTATGTGTGTGTTCGCTTATTTCCCTTTAGATACCATATGCCCTTCATTTACTCCTGTTTTAATACACATTGTAAGGTATCAGTATTGATGTGCACCATGTGCCATTCATTTTATCAGAGAAGTAAGAGAGACAACTCAAAATGTCATGTATTACAGTGTATAAAGATTGTGAATAATGTGAACCTATACAGAATAAAAATATATTCATGGCAAGGTAACATATTAGACTGACAGAAGACTTCCTGTCTTATCAAACATTTCTTCATGACGATGGTTTCACTCTACTGCAATAAGAGTGGGGAAGGAGGGATAATCGCCTTTCAATATTCATTTTGAAAGTGATATATGATTAATATTGGGACACTCACCCCCACCCCTCGTCCTACCGATATTACGTTCTCAATATTGTGTTATTTGTGCATGTTGATTATTTAAATTTGTATCATTTTTAATGTCCTTTTTCTGATCCTGCTCAAGATTCCGATCGTCACACACAATTAAACGCATATTTTTAAAATAAATTTTTAAAGTATAAACTTTTTTTAATATTATCTGGCAAAAGAAATATCGTGAATTGTATTTTCTTTTATAACTGCGTTATATACATCCATTTTGAATGAATATCTTGAACTGTTTTTAGCTTTAATCAACGGTTTTCAAATACCGACATTTATATAATGTGTTATTAATAAACATAAACGCTTATTCATGAATAAAAAGGATGAGCAAATATTCGATGAATGATTACACAATTAATTGCTTTTTAATAATTTCTTTTATATTTTTCAATTTTAAGCTCGTTTAATTTCTTTTAAGTAGTTTTTCAGTGAAAAAAGAGAGAAATAAACTTGTTTTGCAATACGAGAATCAAGTTTTGATCTTTGTGGCATTGCATTACAGATGATCCCCTTGTAGTAACACTTATAGAAAATTTACACTCGTATATACAGTAGGTTATTCTAATAAAAAAGACACGTAGACAATCGTTCCATTGACATAAAATTGTTTTAAATTTACATACAACTGTTTGTTGAATGTCAATAAATTATCTTGGTGCACATCGAATGGCATTCACATTTGAATAAAAAATAACACCCACAAAGAGATGACAGATTATTAGTGAAGTTTTCTATGTCTTTATAAATATGGGTTTTGCAGTATGCAAAACCCATATTTATAAAGACATAGAATCGATCTGTACTCGGGTAGGTAGGCCATAATAAACAATTATACTGGGACACTCAAGATTTAAAATCCTTCAAGAAAAATCTAGTCACGATTGATCGATTAATCTCCAGTCGAAATGTGTATTTATTCTTTTTTCTCATTGATACGCATATTGAACAGAAGAACCAATGCCTGAATAGGTGTAGCAACTCTTCCTGGTCTTTTTCAATATATTTCAAAATACCGATTTTATTTCACGTTTCCCCTTGGTTGCCTCTTTTTTAGTCGGGGTTTCTGTGAATTTGACGGTATCTGTAATAGCTAAAGTCATAGAGATTTACTGATTAAATGAATTTGACCTATTTGTAAATTCTCAGTTTTTCATCTTCTGTACTTTTTTTTTTTTGGTTTCATCTTATGCTTTCATTTTTTCGGCAGAGGAGGCATGACTTTTGTTATGAAAGTTAACTTTTTAACAACCTTGTAAAAATGGTCAATTTTATATATATATATATATATATATATATATATATATATATATATATATATATATATATATATATATATATATATATATATATATATATATATATATATATATATATTTAAGGAATCACTGTCTAGTTTTGAGGGTATGCCAGGGCATCAACAATAGTGGGAAACATGGGATAATTTGCATAACGGGCGAAGCCCGTTATGCTAAAATTATCCCATGTTTCCCACTATTGTTGATGTCCCTGGCATACTCTCAAAACTAGACAGTGATTCCTTATATTTCCATTTTTACTTGAAATAACCATCTTAAAATAAATCGAAATACCGTCCAATTGAGGAGATTTGAAATGCACAAGGCCCCATGACGTCAAATTTTACTATAAAAATAGTCCCCAAAACACGAAACAAATTTATTGATTATTTATAGTTACCGTAGTCAAATATCAACATTTATAAAATAAACAACAAAAGAATTTTAAATAATGATCAAAGTAATCTTGTTGACTTTAATTATATATGTGACCTAGATTTAGATTGTCGGAAGCACGAACATATATAGGCACTATGTCACTTCTCCGCCGCCATATTGAGTGCAATGTTGTAGTTGATGAAACGGGAGCTGGTCAGCATGGTCAGGAAACCGATTTGTATGGATGTTAAAATAACAGAAGAAGTTGAGTTGCTTAAGAAGTCGGATGGTAATGACTGAGGGACGATGTCTGTATCAGATGATGGAGTACGTGCAGATCCATATGGCAATGTCAATTTCTCCACGTGGCTGTTACGGAAGTGGAGTTCTCGGACTCGCGAGGCCTCGGTGATAGTGGACAGCGTTGCGCTAGTGACTTGCTTTCCAACCGAAGATAATTCATTATTTAATTTGTTTGTTAAAAAGATATATCATATCAAATTACTTAGTAAACAATTAAACAAAACATCTATTTTTTCTTGAGTATATTTATACGCCAGTGATATACATGCAGGTTGACACCTGACCTTTCAGTAATAGAGAAATATACATACCACCGGGTATTACCATGAAATTAACAAGAAACACTTTTGTAGTGTTTATCATAGAGAAAACAATTGGAAATGGAAATATATATATATATATATATATATATATATATATATATATATATATATATATATATATATATATATATATATATATATATATATATATATATATATATATATATATATTTCCATTTCCAATTGTTTTCTCTATGATAAACACTACAAAAGTGTATCTTGTTAATTTCATGATAATACCCTGTTGTATGTATATTTCTCTATTACTGAAAGGTAGGTGTCAACCTGCATGTATATCACTGGCGTATAAATATACTCAAGAAAAAATAGATGTTTTGTTTAATTGTTTACTAAGTAAATTGATTGATACATCTTTTTAACAAACAAAATAAATAATGAATTATCTTCGGCTCGAAAGCAAGTCAATAGCGCAACGCTGTCCACTATCACCGAGGCCTCGCGAGTCCGAGAACTCCACTTCCGTAACAGCCACGTGGAGAAATTGACATTGCCACATGGATCTGCACGTACTCCATCATCTGATACAGACATCGTCCCTTAGTCATTACCATCCGACTTCTTAAGCAACTCAACTTCTTCTGTTATTATAACATCCATACAAATCGGTTTCCTAACCATG